CGTTTGCGACAACCGACTTCGATGGGGGGAGGGGGGGTTTGGAGAACGGACGAAAATCGGTGCGCGCGCAGGATGTCATCCATAAAATTAAAAAAGTGTGGCCTTATGAAAAAAAAACTGAATTCAGCATAACAATTACTTAAACCATAAAATGCTGCTTTATCTTCACACACACACACACACACACACACACACACACACACACTGTCATTCAACGGCAGTGAAATCAAACTTCAAGATATGAAGATTTCAGTCATACACGCCTATAATACCAGCCACACAGATTCTCAGTAGAACGGACGTACGCACGTCTTTGAACTACACACATCATGATACTAAGATACGTGAATTTCTTTCTTTCTCTTCAGTGTTATCGGACAGCGACTACGACGCCGGAGATGTGGAGGGCGCCAGGAGCAAGGGAAAGATAGCCTTTTGGCTAAACATCGCTGGCGCGTTGACAAGCATCATTGTGTTAATCGTGACCGTTGTTTGGTATTGCGTGGAAGTAGCGGCAGTTTCCGATTCAATCTATGACGAACCCTAACTATAAACGTATAGTTGCAGGGGCGGATTTAGGCCGTCTTCTGGGTCTTCCGGAAGACGGTCAGATTTTTAAGTTTACATTGACGGGTATCTAATATTTTCTGTCGGAAGACGGTCAAAATTGAGGACAAATTAACAAAGATAAGACTGTCAGAAAATATCTCTGGATCCGCCCCTGAGTTGCTTTGGCCAATGTACACAGAACTGCTTGAGAACTATACTTTTCCTTTACGTAAAATGCCTTAATTAATGGCAAACCACTGTTCAAAAAGTTTCATGCAAGATTTTGTGAGTAAGCTACCTACATGATACTGGGTATATTGTTTATAATCAGTATATTATTATTTTTGACTTTAAACAATGTACCTAGTAAGATGTTTATAATCAATATTTTATTAACATCGATTACAAACAATGCAATTATGCATGTAATATGATGTTTTGATGAATTGAATGTGGTGAATTCCACAAAACTTACAAATGTTAAAACAATACGAGCCAGTTCGACATCTCCACCATTGTTCTTAGCCACTCATTCTTTATACATAGTGAGGTGGGAATTAAATCAGGCTAAATATTTGGGTGTTTTAACGACGCACTTCTGACTGAACATAGAGAACTCTGGAAAATTGTTGAAAATGATATCAAATGAAAGTGAAGACAACCGTTATGAACTCCTAATAACGTGAAGATGTGATTAGTCTACCCTTCTTTTCTTACAATCTTCAATAACACAAATTGATTAAACCATGATTAACATTTTGAATATGAATAAATATATATCTTTATATATATATTTACACAATTATCTTTTTTTGCTTTACTTTTATGCAACTTGTGAAATTTGAGTCAAGCAATGTGATTACTGGTTTAAAAAATATTAAAAATAGTACATAGAAACATTTGTGATATTGTAAAAAAAAAACTGTTACATTTATCAAATAAATATGTAAATAGAATTTAATTGTTATTGTTTTAATCTGTCTATACTCAGGCCTACCCAACTACCAGACTTGGCACCGAATGATCTTATAATTCACCGGTAGATCAGACTACTCTACCCGCTCTCAAGGTGTGTATCAGTACGCGCCTCGAAGTATCAGACGCGACACCGCTCTTGCCTACTACGCGATGTGATAGTGATGATTCTCAGCGGGGTTTGAAACTTCAAAGTATTGCATCACCACTCAAAATTTGTTTGGGGTATGATACTGTGAAATGCGTACTGACATTCTGTTATACCCCCGTCACACTTATTCGGAATCAGCAGGAATGAAGAAGAATGAGCCCGAACGAAGAATTTTTAAATTCGAACCACATTCGGGGGGAAATTTTCATATTGTAAGAGTACCGTTGGAATACTCAGAATGCGCTTGAATTCGCCTGGAATGATGAGTGCATTTTCGACTGTGTAGCTCTCAAAAGCAGTTCGAATGTAGTTAGAAAACTAGGAATATTTATAATGCTGTAAGAAGACAGTAAGAATATTTAGAATATACTTTGAACGGCGCACTAGTGTAGTTCGATTGCTGGCAAATTTAATAATTCAGCTCATCCGCGGCACATTCGAAACATTCTGGCGGAGTATAAAATCCCCGTCACACTAGAGGCGGAATGATTAAGAATGGCGTCGTAAATACAATTCTTTGTGCATTCCAGGATATTCGAATAGCATTCTAAAAACATTGTAAAAATTCTGAGTGCATTCCAAATATTTTTTATCCATTCTTGTGGCCGGCTCGAATGATTTTGTCATGTCAAAAACTTTCTAAGTGCATTCCAAGAGCAAATTAATCGCAATATCCCTACAGTATTCCAACTACATTCGAGCTGCATTTAAGAGGTAATATACCTGGAATGTGCAAGAATCATTCCAGGCGGGTTCGATGTGCATTCTTAGTATTCCAGAGGCATTCTTACAAAGCTGTAATATTTTATGATAATTTTAAATTCCCTCCCGAATATGGCACGAATTTTTAAATTTAGTAATTCCGGCTTGATTCCTACTGATTTCGAATAAGTTTGACGGGGGCTTTAAGTAACTTGTCAGTTCGAATATTCCTCTAATGTTATCAGCATGTTTCGAATGCTGTCGGAATGCCGTGAGAATATTTAGAATGCAGTCATAGTGCTGTTCAAATGCCATTCGATAAATTTCCACTTGGAATGCACTTCGAAGGTTTTTGACATGACAAAAACATTCGGAATACCACAAGAATGGGTAAAAATATTTAGAATGCACTCGTAATTATTAGAATGCTCTTCGAATATCCAGGAGCGCACAAAGAATTGTCTTTCCGACGGCATTCTTGCTCATTCCGCCTTTAGTGTGACGGGGGTATTACAGCTGTATGAGCCAAATCTGGGTATCCGTCGTAAAATACAGCCCTCTTATCATCTTTCTTCAGACCCCCATCCGATGACCTAATGTCTTTTTGTATGGCCAAATCAAAACTAGAAAATAAGATATATTTGCATTGCTAACGTTTAATAGTATGTAGAGGTTAGAAGTAAGGGCATCCTTGTATGTGTAATGTTAGTAATTGACAGCCACGAATGAACAAGGAGTAGGGAGTGTATAGTAGTGTTACTTGACTTGATTGACATGACCTTGTTGTACTTAAGCGCAGAATTTTATGTAAACTGGAAAAACTATGTAAATTGTAGATAGCGTACTTAGAAAGTGATAATAAAGGATATGAAGGAACATGGTAGTTGTTTAGTTCTTACCTTGCGTAACAAGTAAGTCAAAGTCAGTAACGTCGTCACATATGTTGTGATTACCGGCCCTCTTTGTATCTTATTGGTTGTTATTATCAAAGTAATCCCTACAATGGAATGAAGTTAATACATGATTAATTTATGTTTTATTAATTTCGTTTTTTTAAATTATCGATTTATTCAATTTTACAAAATATTTATACATTGTACGACGTTCAATCATCAGCACGTGCTTTTACGCCACGTGCACTTAACGTCACGCATGGACGAAGCAGGTTATTGTCCATGTATCGCGTATCCTTGACTTTTGTTTAATTATTCATTCATCAGTTCCTGGAAAAGGGGCATATGCCAAAAGCTTCGTCGTTTTCATTCATATTTATGTTGATCTACACAGATAAATATTTAACTCAATCAATTGCTGGTTGACTAATTCGATTGTTCGTTGTCGATCTCACCGGACCAGTTTTGGAACAAAGACTGCTTTTTATAATGTGTTGTTAAATTTCAGTCAATAAGACTGCTTTTTATAATTTGTTGTTAAATTTTAGTCCATCTTTCTCTCCCCCAACTTTCCTCCTAGATTTGCTTCTTAGTAAATCGCAATCATTTCGCACTGCCTTTAAACCGAGAGAGGTCGTCCGATTGTGGTTAACAATTTATGTCCAATGAAATCTTATCAACACAAGGGGAACAGCTACCACATCTTGTTCCATGTGTTTTGATATCACTACGTAGTAAAGGAAGTAGATTATATGTCACCATGACACATCTATAAATGTTGTGCAATATCTGAGTGCCGAAGAACGGCTATCTAGTCATTGTTCCTTGTTTATACATATACATGTATGTCTGCACTACATGTAATATAAAGAGTGTTATACGTATATGGCTGACGCTCAAAAAAAAAAAAAAAAGAGCGTACAAACTATACAGTGACGGCAGTGGGAATGAGACATTTAATCACTGTAACACAACGACCCAATAAATAGATATCGGATAAGTGGTGTTATAAAGGTCAAGTCGAATCATTTATCTGTGAAGACATTTTAAGCATGATAATGGTTATTATTTAGGTGCTACATGTACGCTCGTGTTGAAACATATACATGTGAAGTGGAGGTTTTTGTGGGTTAAACGGCAGCGACAGCTTTACAAATTCGTCACGAAATGTACTTTCTTTATCCTAAAATAGTTTAAGTGACCCATTTCATTAAAGAAAAAAACAAAGTTTATTCAGAAGTTGTTCTTGGAAAACGGTATTTCAATATTTGTTTTGATTAGTTTCACTTTCGGTCGACTTTACAGACGAAATCATGTTAAAAGTCTTTTTTTATTACCCTAACCTCCATGATCAACCTTTTACGGTGACATTGCATGGATGAGATTTTAAATATACAACCAGCCTATGCTGTTTTCTTTTCGAAGATTAAATAACTTAGTTATCTTGAAAAGACGCCCCAGGTAGGCCTATATAGTCGCTGTAAAAGGGGCGATGACGTAGAGGTCACGAGACTGATTTGGGATCGGCAACCCTAAGATAACCAAAACAGCCTAGTCTCTCAGCTAAGGGTGCCGCCTCTATAGAACTCGTCAAGCAGTCCACTGTTACAGGTGAGTGCACCAAGCGTTTGGCAAGTTTCTTAGCAGCCGTTATTCTCATTTTCTATTCTAACATGTATCAAAATTAAAAAGTGAACTAGTATATCAAATACATCTACTGTATGGGTCAAATGCAAATAAAACGAGGGTCCAGATTCTGTCCGCTTTGCAAAGTAAAGCTGAATTACCCTGAACAATAAATTTTCTCATTTATATTAGACTTGCACTCAATATACCAAAACCAAACTTTAAAAAGGAATAATGAAAGCTGCATTGCTGTAAACAGGGTAGAGCGTCGTTTCTTTTTTTTCTTTTTTTTTTTTTTTCATTTTCTGGTAAAACAACCACGGAAATTCCTACAAGGCATTCTGCTTTATATGCCTTGAATTAACCGATTCGTCCACAGTCTTGGGAAAAAATTAAGTTATGGGGTTTGTAGAAACTTTGAAATAAATTGATCCAGTGATATGTATAGCTTTTAGACAATGTCAAGAGGACAGCTTAATTTACCGGTATACGAGAAAATATTAAAATACCTCTCCCCTGTGTAGAACAGTTTCATTAGCTATGTTATTGTAATAGACTTGTGAAGATTCTTTTGTCTATATTTGTCTGGTCTTACCAGCCTGATGAAGTCTGACTCCAAGTAGACGAAATATTGCCTTGTACGAGGCATAAAGAACGTGATTAGCGTAGAACGGAATATGTTTTAATGTACAAAATACCATTTTGCTGATAAAAAACATCAAAAATCCCCTCGGAAGAAAAAAATGTAGGCGGCCATATTTCTCCTTGTAAAGGTTAGTGTATTTCCATACTCTGCTTCCATACTCTCACCATTTTCGCTTTTAAGACCAACTATAGCTGTGCGAAGCGAGGAGACAGCAGGTAAGTTCCTGGGGATCGAACCCACGGCGCCATGCAGTAGGCGAGCGCTGTACCATTTGAGCCATTCGGACCAGTAGCATCTCTTGACATTCAGATATGATTCAGAGAATTCAGATAAAATGAAATATCACAATAACTACATTAAATAGTGATGCACTTGAGTGCACTTTTTAAAACCACTTTAAATATCTCTATTAATGATAACCAAGGGCCTGGTTTCATTGCCACTTGGTGCAGCTTTGTCTTCATTTCAATTCATAATCAATTGATGACATTTAGTCTCAACTTTTCAGTATAATGATTTACTAAAATTTTCGATTGTCCTGAGATTTGATGCCGAGGTAGTCGTCAAATTAATGTGGAGATTATGGCAGATGTAAATTTAGGGCAGAAATGCCATATTTCAAAGTACAGTTCAGTCTGTGAAAACAGTACAGCTTAACAAAATAATAATTACTTTGTTTCAAAATTATTTTTGTCGTAAGAAAAAAGGAATATATCAACAATGCACGTGTTGCCTTCTAAGTACAAAAATCAGAGATTAAGACAATTTTTTAAATTCTTATCAGTATCGACAGACATTCGTTCAGAATGTGAAAACAATACGCCCAAGATGTAAAACTCACTATGACTTGCCTCTGCTTGTCTAGAGCGTCCAACGCACGCCACGAGTTTTACCAAGGCTCTCGACTTAGGTTTTTTAGGGGTTTGGCCTTACCATCTTTTCGCTATCCTTCATAAATGGAATTTAAGAAAATTCGCTCTGCGTAAGGCGAAATATAACCAGGTAAATACAAGTATCACTTTACACAAACCTTTAATGAAGGCTTTTAACATGAAACATTGAGAAAAAGACACAGGTCGCTCGGGAGGGGCGTACAAGACTATATCTTGTCAGCAGTTGAACGGTGAAGTACGCATATCTGTTCCCGATAATAAAAATATCAGTTGACCAAAGTTAATGGAGAGGACTTTGGCATCAAGGGGTGTTTGTTTTAAGGACCAGGAAGCGTACGTGTGACACAAAGATATCAAAATGTATCGTATAATTTTGATAATATCCTAATGAAGTCTTTCAATAGCATGCGGTATGTGCAAAGAGAATTTCATAGGGAAGAAGTATATCTGACATCATTTGGTATGATTTTTTTTATCGTAAGTGAAAGCCAGGATAGCCATATTGCGTAGTTACGGTATTTTGATAAAAACATACGTAGAAGTGTACGCCTATTATATCTTTAATTCGTATCTTCATAAAATCAGTATTTAGGTCGAGCAGGGTTAAGATTACATACGAGGAGATTTCAGTCGAAATAGGTCACAAGTTTACCTCAAACAAGCAGCGGCCATGTTGTAAAGAAAATAACATTGTTCAAATTCTTCCTTTGTTCTCTTATCTTTATTCTGCGACGAACTCAATTATATCGACCGTGCGACATCTACCGGTAGAATATCAAAGTGTTTACAAGTGTGTTTACATCTATGATACTACACTTACACACGCGCGTGCACGCACATGAATAAATAAATAAACAATAAAATATATATATTGATAAAAAAATAATTAACTAACATTCACTTCTGATTTTAGTGACGTTTTAGTCCTCATATCATAGTATCACTCTGTCTTTCTGTTTCAGCTCTGCAACATGGCACAACCCATGAGAACGTTCCCGGAGGCTTATCCACAGCAGAACCCACACTATGGGTACGACCAAGGACCGCCTGCATACAATCCTGCACCGTCTGCACCTCAAACACAGGTGTGTAATGGGGTATTCCTTGGGGCGAGACGATTTTAAGCGCATCTGTTCAGAAACTTAACCTAAAGTTTTGTGTGGTTGCGTGAAAGAAGGAGGGGGTGGGGGAGGGGGGGTGGCGCCTTGATACATGTATCAGGACTTTAAAGTACATTTATTAAAACACGTATGATTGTCACCTACACGATTTTGATAGAATAATTACTGAAAATCTACATTTTAGCACTGGTTTGTATGGATTTCATGAGCTTTTTTCGCCATTATTTCGATTAGGTGATCGTGAACCAGCCCGCTCCTGCGACAACCAACACTGTGTTCGTTACAACTCACGTCAAGCCGCCCAACTACATGGGGCTGTCCATCTTTGTGCTGCTGTGTTGCAATTGCCCCTTGGGGATAATTGCTCTCGTCTTTTCAAGTAATTTCTGCCTAAAATGTCAAAAAAGGAGAGAGAAAGAGAGAGAGAGAGAGAGTCGAAGTGATTTTTACTACATATTCACAGCTATCCCTCTGGCTAATTCATGGCGTTTTTCCTACTGTACAGAGAGCATTTTTGCATGGAATTAATCTCATCATTCTGGCCTCTAGTATGGAGCGCTCTTTAATACTGTTTCTTTTAAAATGAAATAATAATAAGCAGTATCTGTTCACATTAAATTTCGCTTGGAATTTACATTTTTATACGAGAAAATGCGTCGCCCAAACACGAGATGATTTAATCTTAGGCAAATTGCACACACACACACACACACACACGCACACGCACACACATTCAACAACAGTGAAATCGAACTTCAATATATAAAGATATCAGTCATGCACGGTACACCCATAATAGCAGTCACTGAGATTCTCATTAGAAAAGATACAGTCCGGTCCTTAAATTACACACAATATATACTAAGATACGTGAATTTCTTTCTTTCTCTTCAGTGTTATCGGACAGCGACTACGGCGCCGGAGATGTGGAGGGAGCCCGGAGCAAGGGGAAGATAGCCATGGGGCTAAACATCGCTGGCATGGTGACAACTATCGTTGCGGTAGTCGTGGTCTTGATTTGGTATTTCGCGGTATTTGCAGTAGCTGTCAATACAGTTTATAACGAAACCTAACTGTTAACGTATAGGTGCTTTGGCTCATGTTCGCAGAAGAAGATCTGTGCTTGAGGACTATACTTTTCCTTTACGTAAAATGCCTTAATTAATGGCAAACCACTGTTCAAAAAGTTTCATGCAAGATTTTATGAGAAAGCTACCTACATCATACTGGGTATAATTCAAGCCCGTAGCCAGCAATTTCAAAAGGGGGGTTCTTTTTCTGAAAAAGTGGACCTTTTCCCATAAAAACTTCATGTACATAGATCAAATTTTACCCAGAGTGGACCTTTTCCGAGCAAAAGGGGCGGTTCTTTCGAACCCCCCGAACCCCCCCCTGGCTACGGGCCTGAGTATATTGTTTATAATCAGTATTTTATTAATATCGATTACAAACATTGCAATACTGCATGTAGTATGATATTTATTATCAATATTTTCTTAATAGCTTTTCTGTCATTCTTTCAGTGTTTTTGAGTTCCCTACTCTGCTTGCGTGCTCATTATTATAATTATAATTATCATTTTGTTGAAATAAATTTAATTTTCCATTAACCCAAGGATTATAAAGAAATGATGAATTCTAATGAGACACCATGGACTTTAAACTGAAATGTAGGATACTTTGTGATCACCTTACTACTTTGAAAAATTGAATGTCGTGAATTACACAAAACTTACAAATGTTAAAACAATACGAGCCAGTTCGACATTTCCACCATTGTTCTTATCCACTCATTCTTTATACATTGTGATGTGGGAATTAAATCAGGCTAAATATAAAGGTGTTTGAACGAAGCAATTCTGACTGTACATAGAGAACTCTGGAAAATTGTTGAAAATGATATCAAATGAAAGCGAAGACAATCGTAATGAGCTCCTAATAACGTGTTTAGTCTACCCTTCTTCTTTTCTTAGAATCTTCAATAACACAAATGATTAACATTTTGAATGAAAACATGAATCTTTTTATATATTTACACAATTGTCTTTTTTCTTTTTAATTTATTTTAATGCGATTTCTGAAATTTTGTCAAGCAATGTGATTACTCGTTTAAAAAGATATTTAAAATAGTATATACAGAAACATCTGTGATATTGTAAAAAACTGTTACAATTATCAAATAAATATGTAAATAAAATATAAGGATTTGCCAGTTATTGTTTTAATCTGCCTATACTCACTAATACTGTAGACGAGGACACACGACTTTTTATTTCGTTATGGGTCAATGTATTTGAATTCAAATCTTAAGGCGCATCCAGATTCATCTTACCAGCTGGGTGGATCCACCTTTGCAGTTATTGTCGCTAAAGTGCAATCAGTGTGTTCAGCTTAATTGTCTGACACGCATCCAGCTAAGAGCGCATGCAAAACAGCAGGCTAAGAGACCATTCCCAGAGCCTATCATACTAACTTTGAATCGATCCATCACCAAGGGGATTCTCGCTCAATGGCTATTAAATAAAGCGGTTTAGATGTCTCACACGCCCACTGAAGCTGTTAGAGGGTAATTAACTATCGTTTACCGCTTCAGTAGGCGTGCCAGATATCTAAGCCGCTTAAGCTAAAAGCAGTTTAGCGAGAAGGGTCGATGCAGTTAGATCGGTCTAGGCATGGGAACCCAGTCTAACATATCCTCGGATCAAATATGGCCGACCCACTAAAATTCTTGTTGCGTAAACCCCGCGGGGAATCCATTTAGTGCCTAATCGGGAATTAACTTCATTTCACAGCAAAAACTGTATCTCCCAGGCATTTGTCGTTGAAATCCATAAATTACAATGGAAAATGCTGGCCATCTTAAATTTTCTCAAAATGCCGTAGGATACACACACACACTTGCATTATAAGAAATTTGAATTGAATCAAGCAATGTGATTACGTTTTTTAAAACGTAATTTAATTTGTACACACAGAAATCTGGAAAACTGTAAAAGACACTGCTACATTTATTTTACTTAAAAGTAAATAAATTAATGAAATTAATTCGAAAAAATGTAGTGATTTGTCAGCTGTTTTTATCTGTGAGCTATAGGTGAGGACGCCACGCATTCTGTTACAGCTGTACGAGCCAAATCTGGGTATCCGTCGTAAAATACAGCCCTCTTATCATCTTTCTTTAGACCCCCATCCGATGACCTAATGTCTTTTTGTATGGCCAAATCAAAACTAGAAAATAAGATATATTTGCATTGCTAACGTTTAATAGTATGTAGAGGTTAAAATTAAGGGTATCCTTGATTTTTACCTCCGCCAAGGAGGTTGTGTTTTCACTCTTGTTTGTTTGTCTGTCATCAACATAACTCAAAAGGTTATAGACCAAATTTGATGAAATTTGCAATGAAATCTTATCAACACAAGGGGAACAGCTACCACGTCTTGTTCCATGTGTTTTGACATCACTACGTAGTAAAGGAAGTAAATTATAATACACCATGACACATCTAAAATGTGGTGCAAGAACGGGAATCTAGTCATTGTTCCTTGTTCAAACATGTATGACTGGGTCCATACTTAGATCGATCCATCTGGATCGACCTAACTCCCTGGGGGTTCACGCTAAATTGCTATCAGCTCAAGAGGCTTAAATGTCTGTCACGCCTACCGAATCAGCTAGGGGTAAAGAAAATTACCCCCTAACAGTTTTAATAGACGTGACAGACGTTTAAGCCGGTCAGTTTGATAGCAATTTAGAGAGACTCCCCAGGGAGATAGATCGATCCAAATATCTGTGGGAATGGTCCCTATGTCTGCACTACATGTAAAGAGTGTTATATGACATACGCTCAAAAAGGCGTCTGAACATTATTATACAGTGACGGCAGTGGGAATGAGACATTTGATCACTGTAACACAACGACCCAATAAATAGATATCGGATAAGAGGTGTTATAAAGGTCACGTCGAGTCGTTTATCTGTGAAGATATTTTAGGCATGATAATGGTTATTATTTAGGTGCTTCATTATTATTTAGGTGTTGAAACATATACATGTAAAGTGGAGGTTTTTGTGGGTTAAACAGCAGCGACAGGATTACAAATTGATCACAAAATGTACTTACTTTGTAATGAGTAGTAAAAGTTATCCTTTTTGATTAAAGCAAAAACGAAATTTATTCCAATGTTATTCTTGGAAAACGGTATTTCAATATTTTTTAGTTTGTTTCACTTTCCGTCGACTTTACAGTCGAAATCCTGTTAAAAGTCTTTTTATTACCCTAACCTCCATGACCAACCTTTTACGGTAGCAATACATGAATGAGATTTTAATATACAACCAGTCAGTTTTCTTTTCTTTTCTTTTCAAAGATGAAATGATCTAGTTATCTTGAAAAGACGCCGCAGGTATGTAGTCGCTGAAAAAGGGGCGATGACGTAGAGGTCACGAGATCTACACAGATGCGGGATTGGCAATCTTGAGATAACCTGACTCGTTAAACAGCCACGTCTCCCAGCTAAGAGCGCCGCCTCTGTAGAACTTATCAAGCAGTTGACTATCACAGGTGAGTAGGCCAAGCGTTTGGAAAGTTACTTAGCCGCCATTATTCTCATTTTCTGCTCTAACATGCATCAAAAGTAAACAATAACCTATGACTTTTAATACGTCTACTGCGTCAAACGCAAATAATATGAGGATTCAGACTCTTTGTCCGCTTTTCGAAGTACACTCTACAGCTGAATTGTTCTGGACAAGGTATATGTTCAACTCTGTTGTCTCATTTATGTCAGACTTGCACTGAATATACCAAACTTTAAACAAGAATTAAATTGAAAGCTGCATTGCTGTATACAGGATAGAGCGTCATTCGTTTTTTTTTTCATTTCCTGGTGAAACAACCACTGAAATTCCTGCAAGTCGTAATGCTTGATAATCATTATATTAACCTATTCGTTCACAGTCTTGGGAAATTTGAATTAAGTTATGGGGTGTGCAGATTCTTTGAAATGAGATATGGTCCAGTGGTTTGTATTTCTTTTACATAATGTCAAGAAGACAGGTTAAACTACCGGTATACGCGAAACATACCTCTTCTGAAACGTTGATCAAATATACATGCAGCACCTTACCGCAAACACGTTGTTCTAAAATATGTAAGGAGGAATTTCGTAAAATATAACTACACAGTAAAGCTAAATAATTTTAAGCTTATTCTCGTCGAGCAATCAGGCTGTCACTTGGCACGGGAAAAAAGTGGTTACTAACTGTAACTGACAAAGATGCTCACAACTTTGACAAATAGTACTTCTGAAACGTTATTCTCTGACCACAGGCTGCGCTAGTACTCTGTTACAAAATTTTTACCTCCTCCAAGGAGGTTATGTTTTCAACCCTGTTTGTCTGTTTGATTGTTTGTTTGTCTGTCATCAACATAACTCAAAACGTTATGGACCGATTTTGATGAAATTTTCAGGAACTGTCAGAAATGGGCCAAGGAACAGATGATTAGTTTTTGGCGGTGATCTGGATCAATAATCAATCAATAATCAATAATAATAAAAAATTGCTGCCTTGGAGGAGGTCTGCGCTCTCGGAGTGCTTTTCTAGTTGCATGCCATATTCTTTGATTTTGTATACTATTCTGAAGGTCCCTGATATCAGAAGTAATGAATTGTTGGGCTACCTGAGGGTTGGTGCCAACCGGAAAGTTAGATAAAATACTATAGGGACCGATTTTATATGCATGTTTTCTTTTATCAGAACTGTGTTTAGATTAGATAAAGGTGGAAAAAATCAGGTTAATCTACCTCAACGTCACACCGCATCAAATTCATGTTCATTTGATATAGTGACGCAGAAAACCGAGATAAAAAACCTTAGCTGCGTATAGGGGTCCAAATCTTTTATTTCTGTATAATTAGCATAGGTCTTACGTTTAGTCCTAGGTAGAGAGGACCCGAATTTATTTTAAATGTCGTTTGTTCGTAATTCTAGTACAAATATAATAATAAAGTTATGTTGAACTACCCTCCACCAGGGTGGCAGATATTGTAGGCACATTTTCCACCAGCCACAGCCAGACACGTTATCTGTGAATATCCAGTGAAAAACCAATCAGTGGACCTGGTAGAGGATAATATTGAACCGCCAGATGTTGTTTGTCTTTTCATCTTTCTGTTCGTTCAAAAAAATTAAACCGATAAGTTTTATTTCGCTTTCACCGCGAGTTAGAATATTTAACCGTTAGCTTTGAAACGTGGGAATTGGTGCATGCAACTGAACCTGCGTAAAGAACTCTGTCGTTATTCTTATTATTATTACCTCTGCTAAGCAGCAGGTCATGTTTTTGCCTTTGTTGGTTTGTTAGTAAACAGCCGACTCAAAACGTTGAGGATCATTTTTTCCAGAAAAGGTAGCAGTGGGTTAATTTAATATTTATAAGATTTTGTTAATATCCCTAGTTTAGTTTTTTTTATTAATAATTTGAACCGAGCTTCTTCGGTGTCGGTATTCTGGACGTGCTCTCTACGTAATTTTCAAGTTTCGGATGGGTCGCCTGTCAAAGTGAGCTAAGGCAGACCCTTATTTGATACTCATAAATGGAAAATATGAAAGCATTGGTTGATAAGTAACTCACGAGTGCTGTGACAATCTATAGGCGCTGTCAAGGAACGTAGACTATTTAAAGCCGTGCCTAGTATGAGGCATAAAGAACGTGATTAGCGTAGAACGGAATATGTGTAATGTATAAAATGCCTACATTAAAAATATTTACGAACCCGTTCACAGTATTCGTTTTTTAACAAAATTACTTGGATTCATGCAACACTTGAAAAAAATTACACATGGCCTAACAATGTAAAATGCTGACGGAGTAGGCAAAATACGTTGAGCTGAGTGGCCTTCAGATAACAACCAACCCAAAGTATGGGATTTACTGTGCTAATGTTTACCGAGAGATTGAGTCTCTATAGCTCAAACCAAGATAACCTGGTTTTACTGCACTAGTTTAGACAGTTAAACACGGGGTCGGTCATCAAAGCAGTCGCTTAAGGTCACTGAAAGGGTTTATTCTCATCGAAATACCGAAAATTGGGGTTTTCGTGCATTTAAGTATTCAAAAATGCATCTACCATTTTGTTGATAAAAAACAAATATACACTCGAAAGAAAATATAAAATGTAGGCGTCCATATTTCTCATTGTAAAGCAAGCGGAAGGTTAGGGCACTTCCGTACTCTCACCATTTTCGTTTATAAGACCAACTATAGCTGTTCGAAGCGAGGAGACATAATGTACATGTAAGTCCCTGGGGATCGAACCCACGGCGCCATGCACAGTAGGCGAGCGCTCTATCATTCGAGCCATCCGAACCAGTAGCATCTCTTGACATTCAGATATGATCCAGATATTTGAAATAATTCAAAAAGATATCACAATTACTACAATACATATTGATGCTCTTAAACCCACTTTAACTATCGCTATTATGTCAACTTGGCCGGCTTAAATGTCAGTCACGCCTAGGAAAGCTGTTAGGGTGTAATTATCTTTTCCTCCTAGGTGATTCGCTAGGCGTGACAGACATATATGCCGGTTATTTGATAGCAATTTAGGGAAGCTCCCCAGGGAGTTAGGTCGATCCAGATGGATCGATCCAAGTATGGGAACCCAGTCTGGGTTCCCATACTTAGATCGCTCCAGGTGGATCGACCTAACTCCCTGGGGTTTCACGCTAAATTGCTATCAGCTCAAGAGGGAGCCGAGCGGGCATGAAAGTTAATTCCCCCTAACAGCTTTTAGTAGGCGGGACAGACATTTAAGCTGGTTAAGCCGACAGTTATTTAGTGAGACTCCCCAGGGAGATAGATCGATCCACATATCTGTGGGAATGGTCCCGTAGTACAGGGACATCTACCGGTAGAATTGCAAAGTTATTAGGCCTAAAGCTAACAATATACTACACGTATATCGTTAGTTGTATATCGTTATACTACACGTACATACACGCACGCACACGCATGAATAAAAAATAAGCAATAGAAGATACATAAATAAAAAAAAATAATTAAATAACATTCACTTCTGATTTTACTGTCGTTTCAAATCAAGGTATCACTCTCTGCCTTTCTGTTTTAGATTTGCGCTATGGCATACGTGCAGAAACCGTACCCGGAGGCCTATCCACAGCAAAACCCTCATTATGGGTACGACCAAGGACCTCCTCCCGCATACAATCCTGCACCGTCTGCACCTCAAACACAGGTGTGTAATGGGGTATTCCTTGGGGCGATTTGGAGCTAAAATTGTATCAGGGTGGGTGAAAAGAGGTCGGGCGGGGCGACGCGTTGATATCAAGACTTTGAAGTGCATTTATTAAAACAGGTCACTTGCGAATGATTGTTACATACTCGTTTTTGATAGAATAATTACTGAAAATCTATATTTTTAGCATTGGTCTGTATGGATTTGATCAGCTTTTTTCGCCATTATTTCGATTAGGTGATCGTGAACCAGCCCGCTCCTGCGACAACCAATACTGTGTTCGTCACAACTCAAATCAAGCCGCCCAACTACTTGGGGCTGTCCATCTTTGTGCTGCTGTGCTGCAATCTGCCCTTGGGGATAATTGCTCTCGTCTTTTCAAGTAATTTCTTCTTAAAGTGTTAAAAAAGGAGAGAGAGAGAGAGAGTCAAAGTGATGTTTTACTACATATTCACAGATGTGCCTCTGGCTATTTCATGGCATTTTTCCTACTGTGCAGAGAGCATTTTTGCATGGAATTAATTTCATCATTAATTAATTTCATAATTCTGGTCTCTAGTATCGAGCCCTCTTTGATACTGTTTCTTTTAAAATTAAATTATAATAAGCAGTATCTGTTCACACTTAAGTTCGCTTGAAATTTACATTTTTATACGAGAAAATGCGTCGCCCAAACAAAAGATGATTTAATCTCAGGCAAATTGGCCTCATTTGGTGGACACCGCTGCGCCAAATGCACGCGCGCGCACACACACACACACACACACACACACACACACACTGTCATTAAACGACAGTGAAATCGAACTTCAAGATATAAAGATATCAGTAATGGACACCCATAATACCAGTCACAGAGATTCTCATTAGAAAAGATGCAGTCCCGTCTTTGAAGTACACACAACATATACTAAGATACGTAAATTTCTCTCTTTTTCTTCAGTTTTATCGGACAGCGACTACGGCGCCGGAGATGTGGAGGGAGCCCGGAGCAAGGGGAAGGTAGCCATGGGGCTAAGCATCGCTGGCATGGTGACAACTATCATTGCGGTAGTCGTGGTCCTGGTTTACTATTTCGCAGTAATAGTAGCAGTTGCCAATGCAGAAACCTAAACCTAACTATAAACGAATAGTTGCTTTGGCCAATGTTCACAGAGGATCTGTGCTCGAGGACTATGCTTTTCCTTTAAGCAAAATGCCTTAATTAATGGCAAACCACTGTTCAAAAAGTTTCATACAAGATTTTGTGAGTTAGCTAGCTCCATCACACTGGGTACATTGTTTATAATATTAGTATTTTATTAATATTGATTATAATCAATGTACCTAGTAAGATGTTTATAATCAATATTTTATTAAATTAAATATGGATTATAAACAATCCACTTATCATGTGACTTATGCATGTAGCATGATGTTTATTATCAACATTTTCTAAATAGCTTTTCTGTCATTCGTTCAGTGTTTTTGAGCTCCCTACTCTGCTTGCATGCTTATTATTATAATAATTATTATTATTTTTTTTGCTCAAATAAATTAAATTTTCCATTAACCCAAAGATTATAAAAAATGATGAATTCTAATGAGGCACCATGGACCGTAAACTGAAATGTAGGATACTTTGTGATGATCTTACTACTTTGATGAATTGAAAGTCGTGAACTACACAAAATTTACAAATGTTAAAACATCACGAATCAGTTCAGCATATCCACCATTGTACTTATTCACTCATTCACGATACATTGTGATGTGCAAATTAAATGTTTAGGTGTTTGAATGAGGCACTTCTGACTGTACATAGAGAACTCTGGAAAATTGTTGAAAATGTTTTAAAATTTTATTATTTTTGTGAAAAATTGGTCTTGAGAAAATATATTTCAATAAATACATTTTGCATCAATTTCCATGCTCTGTCACTTGCTTTTACAGTATTAATAATTTTAATTATATTAATATATAGACCAGAATGTTTTTGTTATTGGCCATGTTATTTGAGCATCCCTCTTAACACAGTATACTTTTATAAACCTTTATTCTACACCTTTCTCTGCCATAAGCAGATATAAGAAATAAAATTTAGCATTTACTTGAGGCTGTTTCAAAAATACTAATATGTAATGGATGGGCCAACACCTACAGGACAAATTGATGGTCTTTGATGGTCTCTCAATGAATGTCAATGAATGTCACTGAGAGACCATTAAAGGATTACACGGTTCTCCTTTCAAGTAGGTCCGCCATGTTTAGGTCTCGGCCTTGCTAGACCTCGGCTCTTCTTGATGTGAATGCTCTCTAAGTGTGTCAAAATCTAGGATGGGGCTTACCTGTACAAATTGAAGGGAAACAGACTCTCTCTCTATCTCTCTCTTTCTCTCTCATATGACACAGAACTAATCTTAATCATAGATATATTTTGTATTTTTATGACAATTTTACAAAACCACACTATTGTAGAATTTGTAACTGGTCACAAGAAATAATGGGCACTATATGAGACCAAGCAGCCTAGTGAGATTTGGCTTTCTCATAATAGAGTAACCTTCCTGTAGACCTCATTCCCCATTCTTCAAGATGATCGTATGTCTCATTGTTTAGATTCTTTGTATGCACTGTTGGTTAAGTAGTTGTGATTTGCTTGTCCATTGACCTCTTCCTGACCTGAACTAGGATAGGTTCATGGTCAAGTTGATAATAATTAACCCTGATAAATGTGATTGAATACTGATATGTATTATTTATGTACTTCTGTAAGACTGAAGTCCATTCATCCTGCACATCACTTCTTCTGTGGCATCTTGGGGAGGGTGTTCATGTATTTGCATATGATTGACAGCATCACTTCATCAGCACCGCCCCCAATGCTTATCAACCTGAAGTCCCTGTAAAACAATGACAATATGGAAAAATTTTGTCAACTAATAAGGCCTCATATGGTTTAACACATCTCAAATATTTCTGATACCAAAAACCCCTTCTAAACTATCTCTAGCTATGCCACACCACTACAATGAGCAATAGTTTCACTACAGGAACCAATATGAATTGTATTTCAAAATGAAAATGTGGAATGAATGATTTCAGCTTGCTTTCAAAAAGCATGGACACATTTCTTACCATATAAAATTTACCTCCTATAAATTCCAAAGCAAATTTATTTTTCATGTAATTCTGACCAACGCTTGCCTAAAATAAATTGACCCCTGACCACTGCTTAACTGTACAGTCCACTGACCCACACTTAGACCCCATTCCCAGAGATTAGATCGATCCAACTAGATCGACCTAACTCCATGGGGGTTCACGCTAAATAGCTGTCAGCCGAGGGGGCACGAAAGTTAATTACCCCCTTACAGTTTGTAGTAGGTGGGACGGACATTTAATCTGGATTATCTGACAGTAATCTAGTCAGACTCCCCACGGGGATAGATCGATCTGAAATCTATGGGAATGCGCCCTTACCTGTATAATCTACTGACCAACACCTCATTTGTGAACCCCATCCCTCCCCAGTACTGCAGACAGCTATCTGCCACTTCTCTACCAAGTCTTCCAACCTTCAGCTTGCACATAGAGGCAAACTTGGTCACATCTTGGCCTTGGACATAAAGACCTGGAGTAATGAATGAGACAGTCATTACACATGACAGTAATAATAATAATAATAATAATAATAATAATAATAATCGCAAGTCATCCTCATATAAAGTAACAACCTTGCCCTATCCCTGTACAGTATAGATCACACCCACCTTCAGACATGTATTGTAATGACCACACCCTCTTTATGTCCTGTAAGGTAATGGTCACACCTACTTACAGCCCTGTGCATTAATGACCAGACCCACCTACAACCATGAATGGTAATGATCACACCCACCTACAACCATGTATGGTAATGATCACACCCACCTACAACCATGTATGGTAATGATCACACCCACCTACAACCATGTATGGTAATGATCACACCCACCTACTGTCCTGTACAGCAATGACCTCAGTAGCTCCACCTCTGTCTCCAGCTCAGCCAGTCTGAAGTGGACACTCTGGTTGTTAAGTATGGGCTGACCAAAGGCCTGTCTTTCCTTGGTGTACTCTATGGTAGCTTGAATGATGTTCTGTAGAGTCTGGAGTACTGGTAACAACAAGACATGTTATGATATACTATTCAGAACAGTTACTGATTCAGAAGTACTGTCTATTGTGTTCTATATGGGTCTGCATTAAAAGATTAATTACTCATTAAGGTGTTAGTGGTGAAATAAGCTGATCAAATGAAGAAAGTATCTGTGATCTACAAACATCTACAAGGTAACCAGAACTGAAGAACAAGATAATCCATCCTTTGTAGTCCTTTCATCACATATTTCTACATTTAAGAGCAGCACAAAAAGAATAACAATAATAATAATTGAAAAAAATTAAAGAATGAATAAATAAATATTATAAAATAAACAAACAAATAAATAAATAAGTAAATATAATAAAATAAATATAAAAAAAACAAATAAATCAGTTAATATAATTAAATAAATATTATTAAATAAATAAATAAACAACATTTAAAACATAAAATCTAGCCTTTACTTGAAGCGGCAGCCCACATTCTTTCCTCCTGAAACTGTATCATCTGGTAGGTAAACCCCTGACCCTCCTCTCCCACCACATAACTCTGGGGCACGTGGACATCTTCAAAAAAGATCTGAGCAGTGTCTGAGCAGCGCATGCCCATTTTGTCTATCCTCTTGGATAAGTTGATACCTATTGAAATGTAGAAATAATTCATGATGGAAAATATGAAGATAGAGTTAGTTTTAGGTCTTGAAAGCCTTAATTTATTTCTTAATGTACTGACATTATGCTGCAAAAAAATACATTTTCTTAGTATACATGAAATGTTTAAGTTAGATTTATGCTGCAAAAAAATAAATTTTCTTAGTATACATGAAATGGTTAAGTTAGATTTGTATTGATAAATTTATTCATAAATTGTCTTTGCAAATTATTATCAAGAGAGAGAGAGAGAGAGAGAGAGAGAGAGATTTCTCAGTTTTTGATCTGATGTTTCTTATTTACCCTTAAGTTCAGCATATAATATCAACTTATAGTTTTTACTAATACAAGGGACAGTACACTCTGTATTTCAGGGTGCAAGTCACACATCTCACCACCAGATATTAGTCACATTTAAGCCATACCTTTAGCATCCATAGGTAGGCAGATCAGGGACTTGTTCTGATGTGGCGGCCCTTCATTGGTGTTGGCGAGGAGACACATCCAGTCAGCTTGGAACCCATTGGTAGTCCACATCTTACCACCATTAATAACATAATCATCCCCTTTCTTCACTGCTGTTGTCTTTATACCTAGTGAATCAAAAACCACAGACAGATAGCAAAACCATATATACATATATTCAGATATACAATATAAAAGAAGACTAAGAAAATGCAAAACACATAAAATGGTTGAGGATATAGGTCAGGTCAATAAACACTAGTCAAATAAAGGTTGTTTGTGTTGAAATAGTCTGAAAATCACAACCCGATCAGCGACACTTGTCAAATATGAACCATCTGAGGAACTGGGTTGGTCAAGCTCAGTCTATCGTACTTTTTTGAATTAAACCCTACATTTAAAGCTGAGGCCCAGCTGCAGGGAAAAGAACAGGGTTATAGTTCAACAAGAGACTTGAATTGCATGCATTCAGCTTAAATGGCTTAGATGTCTGGCACACCTACTGAAGCTGCTAAATGATAGTTAATCACCCCCTAACAGCTTTAGTAGGCTTGTCAGACATCAGAGCTGAATGTAATTCAGCGAGAAACCCCACGGAAATGGGCCGATCCTGCTAGATCAATATAGGTGTGGGAACGGGGTCTTACTTGCAACATCTGAGCCAGCACCAGCTTCGCTGACTCCAAGACAAGCCACAACATCGCCAGCGATGGACGGCTCCAAAAACTGCTTCTTCAGCTCATCACTTCCAAATCTGAAATGTACTATAACCGATTAGTAAAACAAGAAATGTCAACCTTTTGGTTATGATTCTAGATTAAAAGATATACACTTTATATGCAAAATCTGTTTTACTTTGGTAACAGAATATCATTATGCATGCTTTCAATCCACGCTATATCAGTTATACTACACACCACTATGTATAAAATTCATTCTAAATAATACATGTTTCTATCACATGTATATTTAAACACAGATTCTACCAATCCAACCCAGGCCAGCAGAAGTGAATATGCATGAGAACCTTGTCAATATATAAATGTACATAGTTTGATGCATTTGATAAATCATGCATATAGACTGTTCCTTTTAGGTCACACTTTGGATCTTTTTCATAATTAAGACCAAAATCCATACAAACTTCATAAACATATGAGAAAAAGTGCAATTTTGATCACTGTTTCAGAAAAAAGTGCAACATATTTAGTACTAGTAGGCTTATTACTGGCTCAAAATTGCCGTAGAGTGCATTTTATTTAATGGATCTTTAATATTTCACTCTCAATATTTACTATCAACCATATTCAATTATTTCAACAATGTATTCAATCAGGTTTTCAGATTTTTTAAAAAAATTCTAGTCATCCCAAAATACAATACCAAAAATGTTTTTCAGACAATTTTTAAAAAGTAAAAAAAAAGGCATCCCAACAATAACCATATTCCAAACATGTTCTTCACATCTTTTTATAAATTTCCCATCACCCCAACCATGACAACATAAGTGTTACCTTGCCAGTGCGGGGGTGGCCATATCTGTCTGTACACCTATCGCCATGGGAACTCCGCCACAGTTGATATGACCCAGCTCCTCCGCAACTGCCACACTGTAGGTGTAGTCCAAACCTAAACCACCATACTCTGTAACATAAAATTTAATATCCCAGATGTTTTGTAACATTTCTAATCTTATAAAAGTGTTACCCAAGGAAAAAATTGCATGGCTTCAGTATACAAACATAATGTCGCCATGATTTATATTGACAATGTTAGTTGATTGTGTGTAGTTAAAATCAACAAAAACTATAAGAAAAGTCAATATTATATTATAATACATTCTCACAGAATATTTTCTGGGTATATGTATTCTTCAATTAAACATAAAAACATCGGAAGACAAAAAAAAAATAAATAGATAAATAAAATATTCTTCATTTCTGTGGACATCTCTATCCTTTACATGAATACGTCTTCTCAGATTGCTGTTTGTCTCACCTGTAGGTTTAGTGACACCTAGAAACCCTGCTTGACCTAGTTTCTTGAACACCTCATGAGCAGGGAACTGTCCCATTTCTTCCCATTCATCAACATATGGGTTGATGTCTTGCTCAATCAGCTGTAAAAATAAATAATAATAATAAAATGTTTGTAAAAATTACAAAGCAGTTCACAAAAACAGCATTTATGTACTGGTAGTAGTAATATCTACTAGAACCACATAACAAGTCATTTTTTTCTCTGATTATTACCAGTAAATATTACAATGTAGAGGTACTAGAACATGAATACACCAGCACAAGTTCCACAGATGGTTTGTACACGGTGTCATGCATAGCCACTCTACATGTACCTGACTAGCTGACAGCAAAGAATCTGGATTGAGGTTATAATCAAAAATAAGCAAATCATGGTAAATGATGAGTTGTAGGTCTGCCATATTTCATGGTGTGGCAAAATACCCCCCCCCCCCCCCCCACCAAAAAAAAAAAAAAAGCCACAAAATATTTTGTTGGTAAAAATCATAACTCATACAAGTATAAGATTAGAGCTTCAAATTGCTAGTGATAAATACAAATAACAATTATATAATAATTTATATATGCAGCTGAAGTGAACTGCATGTGGTCCTTTGCTACTGAACGATTTTAAACAGTAAATGCAACCTGTTTCAGTAGCCATATCCATTAAAATTTAAATTATTATAATTGGTAACAGTTTTGTGACACTTTCTACAAAGTACATTAAAAGGGGCCATACTGTCTTAATTATTTAAGTGATTTTAGTGACTATTAGTCAATATAACTATTTTGTGTGGTAATATTTTGGCAGTTTTGCAGTAGCCCTCCCCCATAACTCTGTGATATTCAATATCTTTTCTGAATCAATTTGTGTGGTGACTTTGAGCAATGTCTCAGCTACAAATTAATTACATGTAGTTTGGCAATAGAGTCTTTTCCACGAAATCTTGAGCATGCGCAGTGCGCGCCATTTTGTGCGGGACTGTTTCCCAGGGGGAAAGAGTAGAAGGGGCCTTCGGTACTTTTGTAGGCCTACCCCCCCCCCCCCCCCCCC